CAAAGCCTATCATGCACATCAATTCTTTCACACAACAGTCCTTGAGTTACTCGATAGTTAGGAAACTACTGTGGCGCTTTTTGAACACGTTTTAGCATAGCACCATAAACAGGATCAGTGGAATAAGCATTCCTGATCTTTTCTTGTATATCGGTGCCTATATCTAAATACGTTACAATAGCACCGAAGAAGTCAGGTCTTCGACTCAATGCATCGGCAACAACGTTATACTTACCCTTTATTGACCTTAGTTCAAAATCATACTGATCGATTTCCGCAGCGCACCTAGTCGGTTTAGGTGTCATCCGGGCCTGCGTTTTTAGCCAGCGAAATGTCTCATGATCTGAATAAACTTTGAAGTGGCGACCTAGGAGATAATGACGCCAATGATCCAAAGCTTTCCAGAGTGCGTATAGCTCTTTTCATACGTGGAAGTGGCGACTTTCTCACTAGGCAATCGTCGGGACATAAATTCGACAAACCTGTATCCATTCCTGTCATCTTGCTGAAGTACAACGCCTATCCCGTACTGACTGGCGTCGGTAGTAAGAACAAAGGGCAAAGAAGGATCAACAACTTTTAAAACCGGATAGTTAATCAAACATTTCTTAAGACGCTTAAACGAGGACGTGCAATCTTGGTCCCACTTCCAAATAGTTTCCTTTTTCAGCAATCTGCGAAGGGGAGCAGCAATTATCATAAAATGCCTTACGAACTTACGGTAGTAATTAGCCAACCCAAGGAACGACCGTAGTTCCGTCAATGTACGTGGGTTGGGACAATCCCGAATAGCTGCAATCTTTGCGTCTTCCGTTTTAATTTCATCTCCGTTTATAACATGCCCTAAATATAATACTTGACGCTTTGCCCACTCACACTTCTTCGGGTTCAATTTCAGGTTTGCCTCACGCAACTTATTTAGCACAAGTTGAAGGTGCTCACAATGCTCACTCATACTTTTACTAAAAATCAAAATATCATCTAGATATATAACAATAAATTTATCAAGCCATTCACGAAAAAGTTCATTCATCGTCCGCTGGAAAGTTGCAAGCGCATTAGTAAGACCAAAGGGCAACACAATGAACTTATAGTGCTCATACCTTGTACGAAAGGCAGTCTTATATTGGTCTTCTGGTTCTACCTCAATCTGATGGTAGCCAAATTTCAAGTCAATCTTTTCTTGTGAAGTATACCTGCTACCTTATACCCTATCCAACAAATCATCAATTCGGGGTAAAGGCTCGACATTTTTAATTGTTATGTCGTTCAGTCTTTTATAGTCTATACACATGCGAACCCCACCATCTTTCTTTGGCACAAATAATACTGGCGCGCCATAGGGTGAGAAGCTAGGTCTTATCCATCCCTTTTCCAACAACTCGTCTAGCAAGGTTCGCAGTTCATCCAACTCTTTAGGTGACATCCTGTAGATTGGAACCTTAGGAATCCGACTTCCGAGTATAATCTCAATACGATGTTTTATGGGTCGTTCTACCACACCGGGGCCTCTGCTACATCTGCAAATTCTTTCAAAATTTTCTCAACTTCTGGGGACTTTGCCTCCTCCTTATCTTCACCTTCCTTGATTGGGCGCACATATGCCACAAACACTTGATCATATAGATTATACTTCATTACATCGCGGGCGAACGCGGGGGCACTAAGTTGTTTTCCTTACCGGATTCATGAAATTGGCGGATTTTCTTCTTTCCACCTTGCGGACTAGGGAGCCAACACTCATGGTCCCTTAGCTTAACATCTGCATTAGCAGCTTACCCCCAATCTGTACCTAAGAGAATGTCAAAAGGGAGACTATCTTCCACCAAGAGACTCAGAGAGTGGAGAACACGTTCGACCTTCCCCTCTGCCTAGAGCCGGAAGTATATCTGGATCCCTTCAACATATCTATTCATTACAATCTCGCTATTATTCGCTAATTAACTTACTACGGGTTCTTCCAATTGTTTTACCTTTAGCCCGAGACGCAACTTTTGCAGACCTTTCTTATTAATATAGCTGCGTGTTGACCCACTGTCAATCATACCGCCTACTCTTACTTTAATGACTTCTAGATCTACGATAATTAGCTGCCCTTTTCGTTTTTTTCATTTCGACCCAGGCTTTGCGACAAGTGGCCAACTCATCACCCATGCCTGCGAGGGATCCACCTAGAGAGGTACATACACTAACTACCTCTGGACAACTGATTAGGTGGGGATCATTTACCTCTTCAGTTTCTGCCACTGGAACCTTCGAATGGGAGGATGTCAGTCTGCTTGCATCCGAAGTTACTGTAGAGGCAACTGAAACCCCTACTGGTTGTTCGCTTTTGGTTGTTTGTAGTCTGGGCAGAAGCGAACGATGTGGTTGGGGTCACCACATTTGAGGCATTGATCGGCGACTTTTCTATCTTGCCAAACTTTTTCTGTAATCCCTAGCTTTTCCGAAGTCTTGCCTTCGGGCAAGCCAGGATAGGGTGGATATGGTTTGTCCCAGTTCCCTAGCTTTACCCCATGTGGAGTTGGAACCTCGACCACCTTGCAAGGGACCATTCCCCCTTCCTCCCACGTAGTAGCTTCCTTCGCCACCACCCCTCTGGGTGTCGGGTCCTCTTCCTCCACGACCACGGCCTCCTCTTCCTCTGCCACGGCCTCTTCCTTGTCGCCCTCCCCCGCGGGCTGCAACGACCGCGTAGTCCCCCTCCTGAACTACCGATCCTTTGTGTGCATCTCCCTCCAGACCATAGTCTATCTGGTCGTAGGAGAGAGTTTCGACACCTCCTTCTTCAAAGGTCAGAAGAAGGTTGTCTTTCCCAAGACTACCTCCTGCGATGGTAAGATTTCTTGTCGGCTTACAGATCTTTCCAATAGTGGCAGTAATTTGCTACAGAGTGGATCGGGTAGTGCTCTTGCAAAGTTATTAAAAATTTGCGTCGGGGTGAGTCCATGTTGAGCGCATTGCAAAAGTTCGTCCATGGTAGATTTAAGTGCGGAAACATTTTTCCATTTCCTATCTGCAATATTTAAGATTAACATTTCAGTTATCCGGGCTAAGTTCTTATCTTCAAATAGTTCCCGGACCGCTTTAAAGAAATCTTCAATACGGGTTTGTTGGGAATACTCTACCATAGACTGACAATTAGCTTCTTTCTACAGGGAAATTGCAAAACTCATTGCATCTCCGGCCATACACAAACTGGTCATGAGAATCCTGTCCCAATACGGAATACGTTGCCCGTATGCATACGACTCAACCGCTGCAATCCAATGCAAAACACTTTCTTCCTTTTTGTTGGTATATGTCCACGACACTTTTACTTTTATCTTTCTGACTTCCCCTGCGTATTATTATTTCTTGTATAAATAAGAGGAGGGGAAGATAAGGAGGAGGAGATTGTTGGGCGAAGAAGAAGAGCCTTGTCATTGTCTTTGCTGGTNCTTCTTCTTCTTCTTTCTTACTTCTTCTTCTTCTTCTAATCCTCTCTCTCCTCTCAAGTTCATTCATTTCTTTTTGCAATTGGATGGCATTGTACTTTCCAATGGATGTGTATCTCGTAACATTGGTATCAGAGCGGATTCTACTTGCTGGTGAGAGTTAACTTTGCTGCCCTAACCCTAACCGAAGTGGTTGAGGGCAACACTTAGGGTTAGGGTTGGTTGGTTGAGGGAAGTGGGGCAGCGTGGCTAAGGGAAGCTTCCCCCACCTGGTTAGGTCATGTGGGGTCAACATAGAACCTAACCAGGTTGCTTGAGAGTGAGATTAGGGTGGCGAGACATTTCGAGGAGACTTCATGCGGCGATTTGAGAGAGGCAACAGTGAGAGGCACTCACACCTGGGATCTAATTCAAGGGAGACACTTGGCAACTTAAGGGCTGCCCTCAAGTAGGCGAGCTTGAGGGCCAGCGACCATTCTGCATCAACGGACTGCAAGTTGCAACTTTGATCTCCAGCATCAACGGGGGATCCGGCGTTGCACTTGGGTGTTGGAGTCGGACCCTCCTAGGAGATAGGACACTAGTGTAGGGGTAGCGTTAGAGGGGTCAGGAGGACCACATGAGAGGGGGGGTGAGTTTTCTTCATCTTGAAGCTCAAGGCCACTCAGGTAAGTGTCGTGCACCTACGGGATGCCCATGTATGTGTGTATGGTATTGATTGACCTGCTGGGGTACTCTAGGTTTCTTTTCCTACCTGTGGTCTTGATTGTGTGACTGAATGCATGTGATCTACCTACTCACCTGATGGATGGAAAATGAAGTATCTTGACATACATGCCGAGTCTTTCTACAGTGCTTTGTCTTTTCATCACTGAACGGTTGTAGTCTGTAGGTTCTGCCAGAAGTTGAAATTTCATTTTTTTCAGTCCAGTAGAGACTGAACTAAGTTCAGGTGGAACTCCTCTTGGTTGGGACCTGGTTGAGACCTACGTGGGACCCAACGGGACCGGGCCCAAACAAGGAGAGCCTCTGGACCCAAATCGGTTAGGCATTGACCTCTTGTCTTCTTGGCTGGGATACGAGTTCATTCTTCTTGGATTAGGACACCCACTGCCGAGGGGATCTTGGCTGAGACGTTTTGCATGTATTCTGATTGGACTGTCCGTGGCCTGACTCGCACCCTGTACACCACTCAATTCTCCATTGTTGCATGTAGTTACTCGCTGTCTGATTTGCTGTACGGACACGGAGCTGGTCAAACTGGACTCGAGAGGACCTCGTATGCAGTTTGATCAGACTGGGTCGCTGGATCAGACCTCTCATTGAGTTTGTTTGTGTCTTTTGATTCTGTTGCTCTCTACTTCCAAATGAAATGCCGCTCCGGCTAGGAGTTCTATCTTCTCTTCTCTGAGCTTTCAAGTTTGTTTTCTTAGTACATTTCCGATGCCCGTGGAGACTCGCAATCTGAAAGAAGAGAGAGAGAGGAGGGAGAGAGAACAGGGAGAGAGGGAAAGTGATTGTCTGAAGTGGGCAAGGACTGGGAAAAGGAGTGTTTATCTAAGCGGGAGGGGGAGTGAACCTCTGGAGAGTTTGATTGATTCTTTTGCTGACTGGCGACTCTCTGACCCACCTGTCCATACTGACAGTCCGAAAATGGCCCAGCTTACTTCAACGCAATGGCGGGCCTTGTTAGATGCAGCCAGTGATGTTGAGAAACCTTATCTGCAAGCACTCTTGGATAGTGCAATCAAAAGAGAACAGGAGTCAGAGAAGGAGAGGAAGGAGACCCTGCTAAAAAGGCAAGTGGCTCTCTTAGAGACTGTCCCCTCACTGACTGAAGAGCAGTGTGGGGAACAGTTGCAGTCCATCCTTACAGCCTTTGTTCAAGTCAGGAATCTTGAGGACCATACCACTCAGATCGCTGAAGTCTTTGCAAAGTTGCAGACACTTCAAGATGATATGACTGAAATGACCCGCAAGCAACATGAATTGACAAAGGAGGTGGCTGACCTGCGACAAGCCCAAGTGGCCAACCCTCATCCTCTACCCCCTGGATCTGAAGCTGCAATCGAAACAACCTCTTCCCCTCTCACTGTATCTTCTTCTACCTCTTCTTCGAGTGTGATGGCAACCCCCTCAGGACCTGCAGCAGGTGCAGATTCCGCTGTTGTTGTAACAAGCAATGAGGCTGGAACTTCTGCAACTGCTGCAGCCCCAAGAGTGGAACCAACTGTTGCTGGTCCCAGCTACACCGGTTCCTATGTTGACCGAAAGGCAGTACAAATGTCGTCTAAGTACGACAGCAAGGAAGACATCGAGTCCTGGATCGGCTCCATGAGGGCCGACTTTGAGATTCTGGGAACTCAACCTGAGAACCAGGTAATGATCATGGGAATGAATGTCGAGCCGGTCGTACAGGGCTTCCTAGAAGTCCAACCAACGCGGGCTGGGTTCCAAAAGACTGCACTAGCCAAATGGCTTAGAACCACCCTGGTTGCCTCCCTCGAGGATCTCCTCATCTCCCAATACCAAGATCCACATGCTGCAACAAGGGCAAGAAATCAGCTTGACAAGGTCGAGCGCAGCAAGTGGACAGGCTCCATGAAAAGCTTGCAGACCTATCTAAGCAAGTTGTTTGCTACACCTAGTTTGGAATTGACGGCTCAGTCTTGCTTGGATGTGGTTAAGGGCGCGGTTCCAACTAACTTCACTAATCGCCTGGGCAGGGACTACATTGCATACACGGATTGGTTGGTCCTAATGAAGGACATCGTCAGTTTGGAGGCTATAGACCTCGTTAGCACGACAGGCAGCAAAAAGCCCATGGGCGGCAGACGGTTCAAGAGCAGCAGCCGTTTTGTTGTGCATGACCTGCTGGAGGCCGAAGAAGAAGCCGATGCGGATGACCCCACTCTTGGTGACGACCAAGAACACGACTTCGATACAGCTTGTTCTTCAGCCCACGAGTCTGATGCAAACAAAGAAGAAGAAATTTTTTCTGCCTTTAAAAAGACTGCCAGTACTAAGGGACCGAATCGGAGTGCCAGGAAAAGTTATGTCCAACTTCCCAAAGGAGTCAAGATCCCGCCTAAACCGGAGAATGCAACTACCAAACCTTGGGTTGACCTCCGGATCACTGAGAATGACTGACGGGGCAGACTCAAGAAAGGGGTTTGCCTGCATTGCCAAAAAACAAATCATAAGGTTCAAGACTGTTATAGGCTGTAGGGAAACCAGGATCGGGCGTAGAGTCAAATTCAGCAAACTCTACAGCAGGGGAGTCCGGTTCTGTTGAAAATCAGCAGCCCCCCCTTGAAGCCCAACCATCTGCTGAAGACAAGGCTGAGGTAAGTAATGTTTTATATGTCGAGCCTTGGGAGGAGTCTGAGATGGTTGACTTCCACTACCACTTGGAGCATTGGGCTGAGATGAAACAGCAGCGTGACCAAGGGACAGTGAAGTTGATCTTCTTTAAACTGCTCATAAACCACCGTTACCTCCGTGTGTTGGTTGACTGTGGTGCTACAGCTAACTTCATGTCACCACATGGGATAAGCAAGGTGGGCTTGGGGATGAAGCAAGTGGCCTTGCAGAACCCTTGTCGGACCCAAGTTGGCAACAAAGAAGTTCTCTTCAACACATGCAGTCAAAGGTGTGCGCACTACCTTTGACAAAGGCAAGACCGTCACCCACGCACTGAACTTCTTTGTCCTTGACAAGTGCCCCTTCGATGCTGTCCTTGGCTTGCGCTGGCTGCAGTCCCAATGCGAATGGACCAAGTGGAAGGAGTCACTCTTCATGGAAAAAGATGCTCAGGGGAACGAACTTCCTGTCCTCTTGGATGAGAATCACGAATCCCCAGTGACTTTTCGAAATGCATTGAAGTTTTGCAAGAAGTGGCGCAAGCACAAAGAGGACGAACAGTTGTATGTTGCCTTTGTTCGTCCTGCTCATGTGCCTTCTACTTTTGCGGATAATACCACTACTACTTTGATTAATGATCCTGCTTTTGGTACTTCTACTACTAGCACCTCTTCCTCTCTACCCTCTAATAGTCCAAATGATCCTACTTCAGATTCGATCGTCTCTATACGCGACTTGCGACCGGATCTTGGTGATCCCTTTGCTGAGCCACGTGGAATCCCCACGCGACCGGTCTGACACACCATCGACTTGGTCGAGGGTGCTGTTCCTCCAAAGGGTTGTGTGTACCGTATGGGACCCGGCGAGTTGGAGGAACTCCGGCGACAAATCGATGAGATGATTGACAAAGGGTGGATCAAACCAAGTGAATCTGAATTTGGTGCTTCTGTGTTGTTTGTGCCAAAGAAAGGAGGCAAACTCCGCATGTGTATTGACTATCGCGGTCTAAACCGCATCACAAGAAAAAATGCTTATTCGTGCCTCGTATAGATGACTTGCTTGATGCTGCAGGCGGGTGCAAGGTCTTCTACAAGATCGATCTCAAGTCTGGCTACCACCAGATTGAAGTCGATCCTGCAGACCAGGACAAGACTGCGTTCAAAACACGCGACGGGCTTTCGGTCTTACGAACGCACCAGCCACTTTCCTTCGGTCTTACGAACGCACCAGCCACTTTCCAAAGCCTCATGGACAAGGTCCTCTGCGAACAGATTGGCCGGTTTATGGTTGTGTACCTGAACGATATTCTGATATTCAGCAAGTCCATGGAGGAACACCTCAAGCATCTTGAGGAGGTGCTCGCTATCCTCAAGAAGACGCAGCTCCATCTCAACTTGGAGAAATCTGAGTTTGGGAAGGATAGCGTCATCTATCTTGGGCACCAGTTGTCTGCTGCACGCCTAGAGCCTGAGGCAACCAAGATTGAGGTCATACGTGATTGGCCTCAGCTTGCGAACATTCGCGAATTGCGTTCTTTCCTTGGTCTCGCGTCGTACTATCGGAAGTTTGTACCCCGCTTCTCCATCATTGCTCGTCCACTGTCGCGACTAACCAGTAAAAATGTGTCTTATTCCTGGGATGCCGCGTGTACGAAAGCTTTTCGAACTCTCAAGGAAGCGTTGGTAAGTTACCTAGTACTCCGCATTGCAGATCCGAAACTGACATTCGTAGTTACTACGGATGCAAGTCAGTATGGAATCGGTGCAATGCTGCAACAAGATGACGGCGATGGCCTGCGACCACTCGAGTACTACAGCAAACGAATGCCCAGCGTAAAGGTAGCCACTTCCACCTACATGCGCGAGCTCTATGCTTTGCGTATGGCATTGGATCACTGGAAACATTATCTTTTGGGACGCCACTTCAAAGTCTTCTCAGATCATGAGACCTTGAAGTGGATCAAACAGCAAACTACTCTGTCCCCTACCTTGCTTCGCTGGTTCCATGAGATTGACATCTTTGATTTCGAATTAACACACAAAAAGGGCTGTTATAATTGAGTCGCTGACGCATTGTCTCGCCACCCTGAGTACACGACTTGCCTTGTGAAATCCTACGACCTCCGGAAGAAACTGAAGGAGGAGCTCGTAGAGCAGACAGCCAAGGATCCGGAACTTAGTTCCATCCTTGAGCAGTTGCGGGCTGATTCTAGTAGTCAGCCTAATTTCCACGAGTATGGAGGACTGTTTTTTCGTCGTTACGGGAACCATGACCATTTGTGTGTGCCCAACCATGAGCCTCTCCGCACACACTTTCTCGACTTGGCTCATGGCAGGAGCGGGCACTTCGGCATGGCAAAAACGTACGCTAATTTGCTGAGACAGTTTGATTGGCCTGGCATGAAAGGGACTGCTGAAAAGTTTGTTGCTGAGTGTCAAGTCTGTCAACGGATCAAACCATGCAGACAAAAGCCCATGGGGCTACTCACACCTCTACCCATTCCCGATGGTCCCGGGGAGTCTGACTCCATCGACTTCACTGACATGCGTAAGGTAAGCAAAAACAGTTATTCGCAAGTCATGGTGATTGTTGACAGATTTTCAAAATTCCTTAATCTGATCCCTTTGCCGCCTCACGCCCCAACAGATCTAGTGATTCGCGAATTCCAACAGAAATGCCTGCTGCAATTCGGAACCCCGAAGACTCTTGTGAACGATCGGGATCTGCGTTTCATTAGCACTGGATGGAAGGATTTCACGTCCCACCTAGGAATCAAACAGTGCACGACATCTGGCCGACACCCCGAAGCCAACGGTTTGGCTGAGGAGATGAACCAGACTGTATTCCAACTTCTCAGCGCATTGATCATTCCGGCTCAGGAGACATGGGATGAAGAGCTGTATTCTGTCAAGGGGTTGTATAACAACTCTGTCCATTCTGCCACCACCATGACACCCAACAGGTTGCACTACGGTTGGCAGATCCGTAATCCGCTCCTACTTATTCCCTGAGAAGTCAGCTGGCTTAACACCCGGCAGGCCCGGCTTCAAGGCTAAGTATGATCGCTTGCTCAAAGTTGCTGTTGCAGCTATGACCAAGCGACAGCATGCCATGATCCACCATACAACAAAAAGCGCCGACCGTCGGAGATTCAAGTAGGAAGCTATGTCTGGGTGAAGATGTCTGAATTCTCAGAGGAGGAGGGAGTCTCATGCAAACTCCTCCCACTCTACTACGGGCCTTGGGAAGTTTTGGACATAATTGGGGAAGATCACTTTGGCCCTTCGTACGTTGTCGACGTGCCATCTCACCTGCACACATATCCTGTGTTCCATGCATCTAAACTATACCTCCATCGTGATGCCGAGACATTCAATTACCGCGAAGATATGATCCCTCGCGCAATCAAGGGCGGGCATGAGATAGATAGAATTAAACAGCATGTAGGTAAGGGGAGAAACAGACAGTGCCAGGTTCATTTTATGTATCAGCCGTTAGACGATCTCTACTGGATCTCCAAACATGAACTGCTACGCAGCGCACCGCGCGTTGTTAAAGCCTACGAGCGACAAATCGCTGCTAACGCCACACCGAAGATCTCAGCAAGGCTCTCTGCAACAGAGTACTCCAGGAATCTCTTTGCCTTACTCGCCTACGATGCGTTTGCCGGGGACTCAAAATGAGTTACTCGCTCGAAGGGACCTCGCTCTTGAGGGGGGGGTAGTGTGATAACCCGTCCAAACACGGACTGAAACACACAAGCTAATTTCTGAGTTTTGCTCATAGACTGAATGCCCTACTGAGTTCCCCGCCTGCTAAGTCTGTGTGTGTGTGTGCTTGCTGGACTGCATGTCTGTCTGAGTGCTGGTTGGCTTGCGTGTGTGACTGTGCCTATCTGAGTGCTGGTTGGTATGAGTGTGTGTGTGGCCCGCCAGGGCACTTGTTCGTTCGTTGGGCCCTCAGGGCCGGTACTTACCTGTGGCCGTGGCTTTGAAGGGTTGCAGCAGGGAAAAAGCACTCAAGTAGCGGGTAGGCCGGTACCGCACCCGGCAAGGGGTAAATATGCAGGTACCGGAGGCCGAGCAGAAGAAGACAAAAGTGGCATTTTTAGAGGCCGGTAGTGTAGGCTAGGTCTAGCGGGTACCAGTCTGAGTCTAGGGCCTGTAAGGGCAATATCAGAGTCTGCAATGGTGTTCCCTCCAAAAGAGGAGGTGGTACTGGTTGCTTTGGAAGGCCAGCGGCCTGGAAGTCACCGCCCAAGAGGCAAAGCAGGCCGCTATATCTTCGGGTCGGGCGGAAGACCCGGCCTCTTTTTCGGTGTGCAAGTTCGGCGACACACTGGTGGAGCGCTGGAGGGAGCAGCGCTAAGCTGGAGCAGCGCTGCTGGGGAGGAAGAAGAAGGACAGGAGGGAGGAAGGAGGAAGGAGGAAGGAAGGGGGAGGAGCGCCAGGGGTACTTACCTGGCTATAGTGGCAGTCATCTTCATCACCTTGGTGGGCGCTGCAGCAAGGAGTCCCCAGCCAGGGCGAGTCACACCAAGAAGCTTGAAGGCAGGGCTGGGCATGGCGGCCTGAGCTGGAGCAGCCATAGCTGCTCTGGGTTGTCCTTTGGACATTTGCGCAAGGCCTAGTAGTCCGCCATAGCCTCGGCCTATGAGAGTGAAGAGTGGGAGAGGCGGCCATGGCTATGGTGGACCTTGAGTGATACCTGCAGTAGAAGAGGGACTCGGACATTGATTCTGTACCAGTCATTCAACATTGTATTATTATTTCTTGTATAAATAAGAGGAGGGGAAGATAAGGAGGAGGAGATTGTTGGGCGAAGAAGAAGAGCCTTGTCATTGTCTTTGCTGGTGTACGTCTTCTTCTTCTTCTTTCTTACTTCTTCTTCTTCTTCTTCTAATCCTCTCTCTCCTCTCAAGTTCATTCATTTCTTTTTGCAATTGGATGGCATTGTACATTCCAGTGGACGTGTATCTCGAAATTGGCCAGGGTCATAACACTTTAGAAGTCTCGCTGCTTCAGGATAACGAAATTTTAATAATGCAAGAACTCCTCTTTTTTTTTCTTCCTTTGTTTGCTGCCTGTTTAGTTACTTAGCTGGTCTATGCCTTCAATGGTCTGACTGGAAACTTTCATTAGAGAAAAAACAAATCCTAGTTAACACGATTTGCCCTGTTCTCAGCCACTTACACTCTGATGTGGCATTACACAGTTCCCTGCCTCAACCTATCTTCCCTACCCATCGATAGACCAAATGGCTAACATGAAGACCAGATGTTGACTCTCTAGTCCTATGTGTCAGACCTGACCAGGCCACGATTTCGTCCAGACAACAGCAACGACCACCAAAATGGAGGGGGGGGAAAGGATACACAACACACAGGTTTGCAATCAACAAGGTAGGTAGGGCAGGAGGTGCTTCTCTTCTTTGCAGCCGTTGATGAAAACTCCACGTTCGCTCCAATCTCTCCAATCACAGGTAAGTCTTCTCCTCACTAGCCCCTTCTTCTTCGGCAAACTTCCGTCAACAGCGCTTCAACAAGTAGGTATCACCATAGCTTACTTCTTCCCCTTTGATCTCTCTCTTCTCTTCCTCTGTCTATAGTCCTGGTCTACTCTCACTCATCATGCATGCACGCTCCCTATCACACGAAGATCTACTCTGAATACTACTCACTTGTGTCTCCTACTGACTATCCCTACTAACATACTAACTAGCGTTGGCCTTGCTATGGCTGCCTTCCTTCTAGCCAGCACTCTTCCCTCTCACATAGCGCTGCTCTTCAGCCTAGCGCAGCTCACACACATCTAGCGCACAAGTGCCACGACACTTCCACACTCTCATGCGATGTGAGCATCTGTCCAAATGGGAGGCTGGCCAGTCCTTTATAGTGCTGGCCTGGCCTGGCGTGGCCTGCATTCAGCCTCACGCGTCTGGGACTCCTGCCCAGTACCCGTTGTTGCAAAGTGTATGTCCCAATATCTTTTCCCATGGTCTGCTGCTGCTTTGGGCCATCGGGCCTTTCTTTTGGACTCCTGGTCTGAATCAGGACTGACTCGTGGGATTATGACTTGGACTGGGACTGTGGCCTTTGACTTATTGCCCAACCGACATGACTTTCCATCGAGGAGACATGACAATCACTTAGTCTTGAAAACTGTGTCCAATACCTGTTCGTGCAGGACCTGTTTGTGACTATTCAAAACGGCTTTTCATTCATTATGGATGCAACATTTGCCTCAGCAACTTTGTCTTTTGGGTTGCAGCTCGTGAATTTAAGTTATGGCCGATAGGGCCCCTCGCTGTTGGGGCATTCATCTGGGGTTTTATTCGTAAAGGTCCTTTTATTATTACGTGTTCTGGACCGCCCCCCCAAAAAAAATGTTTTTTTTTTCTTTTTTTTCTTTTTTTTGCGGATTACCGATGACCCCCGTACACCAACGCTCAATCCCTCGTCCGCGGGACGCGACCCGCAGTTCACTGCACACATTTTCTTTTCTTTGTTTTCTTATTTTTATTTTTCTCTTTGTTTTATTTTTCTGATTTCGGACACTTGGCGCCATCCGGCAGTCTGGCGCCCATTACGGGCATTCAGTTTGAGACCTCAGTGCTTGTGCTTCGGTGTGACTTGCCTCGACATTGTGTTCGAAAATCCAAGACTTCGACTTTGCGACTTTGCCACTTCGTGTCTGCGTCCGTCGAGTCGTGTCGAGTCTGTGTCGAGTTGAGTGAGTGTGTGTGTGTGCTCTCACTTTCTCCCTCTCCATCCCATCCTCGTTGCCTTGCCTCTGCCTCAGCTTCGTCACACTGGTATCGGAGCGGTTCGAACCCGCCCGACCCACCCTGCTTCGTCGTCACCACCTGGCCATCATCAACGTCATCGTCGCGATCGTCGCCGTCATGCCACGTCATCATCGTAATTGTCGCGGTCATCATCATCGTGCCATGTCATCACGTCACCATCGTTGTGCCTGTCGTCCTCGTCGCCGCGCCGTGCCATCCTCGTCATCGTTGTTGCTACCCCGTGCAGATAAGTAACCGACGACAATTTTCTTTTTTTCTTTTTTATCTTTCTTCTTCTTCTACTTTCTCCCTCTTATCTTCTTCCTTCTTCGTCTTCTTCTCCCTATTCGTACACCTCATCCCCCCCCGTGCACCTCAGTCCCCCGTACACCTCATCCCCCCTCCCGACTACGATTCCCCCCTGATCCCAATCTCCCCCCGCACGCTCCCATCTCCCCCCCACCCCCCAGCGCGCACACAGCTTCCTCCCTCCGCGCGTAATCGCAACCCCCGCTGCGCCTCGTTTCCCCCCTCCCCACCCCCTTCGTTATCCAAGCACTATCATCCAAACAACCTATCTCCTTTGAAAACACCTCTGTATCAATCTACCTTTAAAAACGATTAGTCCCTTTTCGAACTTTCACTTAGGGTTGACATGACTATCGTGATTACGTTTTTAGTGATCAACTTTTCTTAGTATTTTCATTCCTCAAGGATAATTTAGATTGTGATGATAATTTTCATTGACTTTTTGAGTTGTTGGGGTTGTGAAATTGGCAGTGGGGTTAAATCTAGTGGTGTCCTCTATGTGTTTGGCCGATGATGCCTTGCCCACTCAGGGCCCCACATAATTTTGTAAGGGACGTCGGGCCCGGTTCCCGGCTTTTATAAAGACATTGTTCATTGGGAAAAAAAAAAAACTTTCTTTTTGAAATACGTTGAAAATAAGTAGTTAATTTTCCAAATTTCTCAAAACACTTCCTTCCCGAAAATTCTTTACAATTCGAAGCTTCCCTTTTTTCAAAATTTCACGATCGAAATTACTTCTTTCCTCGAAATTATTTCTTTTTCAAATTACTTTTGTACTAGTCTTGAAAATACGTCCCAATTAATTCGTTAGTTGCACAAAATCTTTTCAAAATACTTTAAAATTAAATCACCCCTTTTCACAAATTTCTTGAAAATATTTTCCGCTTGAAATTTTCCTTCTGAACATCTCTTTTGAAACGGTTTTCACCTTTCAGCAGTAGCAGATGCAGTACCCAGGGTTCGATCCCTAGACCTCGCCTTACCCATGTACAGTATCCGTGTAGACCCCGAGAATTGAACCTGTGACCTGTGTATTCGTAGACAGCTGGTAGGTCTGTTGTAGGTCCGTAAGTAGCTGGGGTTCGATCTGAAGGTCTATAGAGTAGAAGTCTTAGCAAGTTCCAGAAATCTAGCTGTAGTCCTTCTAGAAGGTCAGCAAGTGGGCAAGTGGTCAAGTGGCGAGGCAAGTGGTGGACTAAACTGCAGTGCAATCGCAGTACGACGACGGTAGGATAGCAGTAAGTCCACAGTCAGTCAGCGGTAAGGTCCAG